TCGGCGGCCTTCGTCGCCCTCCGCCGCCGCCGCCTCCTCCTCCGTCGTCTCCGTGGTGCGTCGGCGAAGACAGGATGAGGGAGGAGAGAGGAAGAGGACGAAGAAGAAGATGATGATGCTGCTGATGATGATGCTGATGATGGTGATGATGACGATGGTAATGATGAGGAGGAGGATGCTACTGATGGTCGTGGCGATGGTGCTGATGATGACGAACATGGTGATGATGATGACGATGATGCTGATGATGGTGATGGTGGTGATAAAGGTGTTGATGATGATGGAGATGATTATGATACTGGTGATAATCGCAATGCCGGTGGTCATGATGAATACCGTGATGATGACGATGATGACGAGGATGGTGATGATGATGACGAGGATGGTGATGATGATGGAGATGATGATGATGATGATGATGATGATGATGATGATGATGATGATGATGATGATTATGATTATGATGATGATGATGATGATGATGATGATGGTGATGGTGATGGTGATGGTGATGGTGATGGTGATGGTGATGATGCTGGTGATAATGATGATAATAATGACAAAGACGATGTCGATGGTGATGGTGGCGATGCATGATGATGATGCCGACGACGAAAATGAGGATAATCCTGATGACCACAGTTCTAATGACGATGATGGTGATGGCAGTTACGCAGATGATGCTGACGATGATGACGACGATGCCGATAATGAGTATCACAGCACCCCGCAGTTGCGGATGAGGGTGAGGGGCGGAGGGCCGGATTTTAGCTTAAATGATACAACGAGTCCGCCGCAAGCGCCCGATTCGTCGAAGTAAATAGGTGGGTCGCGGGGGGGTCACGGGTGGGTCGCGGGTGGGTCGCGGGTAGGTCGCGGGTGAGTCGCGCGCCGGTCGCGGGGTGGGTCGCGGGATGGGTCCTGGTTGGGTCGCGGGTGGGTCGCGGGTGTGTCGCGGGCCTGGTCGCGGGAGGAACGACGACAACAAACAGCAAACTACAACAATAACATCATAAAAAAACAGCAACAACATCAACCGCTACAACGCAGACAACAACACCAGCAACAACACGCACAATTACAACACCACTTACAACAACAGCAACAACAACAATCACAACAACAACACCAACAACAACCACGTTACCCGAATGCTTTATGATTCTCTACGCCCCATGCATCCATCATGATAGCTCCCCCCTCATGGGACATATTTTCTTGCACAGGGGGTCCGATATTCCCTTACCTACATTTCCCGCCCGAGGAGGTATTGACAACACCTCTTCCGAGGCACTTCAACATCTCCAGCCCGGATGGCACATCGCCTTCGCAATCGCCCTGCCCATGCCTTGCTTCTAGGTGTCACCACGCCCGAGTGGCCTAAAACCTCTGGGGGAGGCCCCACAACCTCCGGGACCTGGAGCCCCTTGGACAGCCTCTGGAGCTCGTTGGAGAGCCTCCAGAGCCTCTCAGAGAAGCTCCAGAATCCTTGTGGGAAACATGAGGGCCCCTGGGAGATGCTTTAAAACTGGATTGGAGGATTTCGGGCCATCTTGAAATCTTGAAGGAGGCCTCAAGGTATTTTTGCAAAAAGGCTTGGATCGGAGGAGCTTCTGAGCCTCGGGGAAGGAAGAAGAGGAAAGAGCAGAAGAAAGAGAAGGAGGAGGAAGGAGGAGGGAAGACAAGGGAGAAGGAGGAGGAAGAGAAGGAGGAGGAGGAGGAAGAGGAGGAGGACGACGACGACGACGGGGTCGCCGCCGCGGGCTCTCGGGCCGCCCCTGACACGCGGAGCGCGCCCAGGGGGCACCGGTGCAGACCTCTGACAGTGCATGCTGCATTCTTGAGGATCGGCACCAGGGACCAGGGGAGCTCGAGGGCCTCTGGGAGGCTGCATGAGAAGCGGCAGAGGTAGCGAGCGGGAGCGTCGTTGTTTGAGGGAGGGGTCCGTCTGCGGCGCCGAGGCGGGAGCGCTGGTCCCGAGTAAGAAACAAGGAATTCCGAGCGGGATTGTCTTGTTGGACGGCCGGCTTTCGGCGGCGAGCAGGAGCCCCGGCCCCGAGCAGGAGGGGAGGAAGTATCGAGAGGGAGCGTTGTTGCTGTGGGGGAGCGCGTTTCGGCACATGCCTGAGCGCGAGCCAAATTTTCAAAGGAAGTGCAGCCGGCGCCAAGGCGAGAACGCCAGTGCGGATGTAGGGTGTGCAACCAGAAAAACTCTCTAGTTGTTCAGGTTCAACGTGGACTAGTTAAGCCTCAGCGCCTCAGGGAGTCTTGAGCGAAGGCGACGGAAGTATCGAACGGGAGTGTCATTGTTAGCAGATGGGGCCGCTTGCGGCGCCGAGGCGTGAGCGCCGGTCCTAATTCAACAACAAGGAAATACCGAGCGGGAGCGTTGTTGTCGGTGTTGATATGATTGATGTTGTTGTTGTTGTTGTTGTTGTTGCTGTTGCTGTTGTTGTTGCTGTTGGGGGGGCAGTTCCGCCGCACCCCCGAAACGCCTGAGCGGGAGCCTAATTTTCAAAGGAAATGCAGCCGGCGCCGAGGCGAGAGCGCCAGGGCGCCTCTCGGAAATGAAACAACAATACTTGTTTCGCAACTTAGATTCACAAGCAGCAGCAACAGCAACAGTAGCAACAACAACAACAGCAATCCGCATCGCGGAATCCCACTTCAGCCGCGCACCCAGGGACAGTGAGTGACCAGTCAGCCCCCTCACTCTGATAACTATGGTGATGGTGGTGATTATGTTGGTGGTGTTAATGATGATGTTGAGAATGGTGCTGCTGCTGCAGATGATGCTGATGCTGCTGATGATGATGATGATGATGATGATGATGGTGCTGCTGCTGATGATGCTGATGATGATGATGATGATGATCATGATGAAGATAATCTGATGAGAAGAGACTAGGAGGAGGAACGAGGAGGGAGGAGTCAGGACGGAGGGTGGAGGCGAGACGGGGGAGGAGGCCCGTGGAGGAATGATGAGGGAGAATGGCGATTTGGCGGAGGAGGCGCTAGTATGCGCTGACACATACCTGAAACTAACAGCTCACACACTGGAGCTCGATGCAGAGCTACTCACGAGCTCTAGAGTTGCCCAATCGAAGCGTGATGCTGCATTGCTACCTGAGACTCCCCGAGGTCAGACCAGAATTCCTCCTCCTCCTCCTGCTCCTGCTCCTCCTCCTCCGCACGGACACTCCTGGCTCCACCCACTTCGCCCTTCGGCTCCGCCTCCGTCTCCCGCCTCCTCCCCCTCCGCCGCCCCGGCCCCCCCTCCCGCTCTTCCCCAGCCGTGGCGACAGCCAGCCGTGTCTGGCGAACACACTACATTTGGGTCGGGCACGTCCTTCTACAGGGGGATTTTGGACGACAAATCAAACATTTCCCAAAAATACGCAAAAATAGAAAGGTATGCAAAACATCGTCCCCTGACTATCTTTTGACTATTTTAAAAGTTTCCCCCTGTAGAGGAACAGGCCCAACTTAAGACGAGCAACGACCAGCCCGCCGGCCGCACACCCCATTCTCGCTGAGCCGCGGGCAGCGCCCAGAGCACCATGCGCTCCATCGCGAGACGCCCGGCCAGATATTCGAGGACCGCAGGGGCCACCTGCGTCGAAGCCGACGGCGACGAGTACAAGTTCGACAACGACGGCGAGCACGACAACTACGACTGGTGACGGCGACGTGAACAGCGTCGAGGATGGCGACGTCGATCACGCCGTCGACGACGACGACGACGACGACGTTTGCCGCCCACGACGACGAGGGGGAGGGCGGCTGGGCTGAGCGCTGCGCACGCCTGGCCGAAACTGCCCCCGCTTCTCGGACCTCGACCGCTCCCGCTCCTCATGGCTGAACCCCTCTCGTGCCGCGCGCAGGTCCACTACCAGCTCGTAACCATTCTCCTCCGTCCCTCTCTCGCCCCGCCTCCCTTCTGCCCCGGCATCGACACTCCTCATCCGCCTCCTGAGCCTTCCAGTCCTCCTCTTCCTTTGCATCCGCCCCCTGTCCAGGAGCTCCTCTTCCTCCTCGTCGCTCCCCTCTTGCAAACGACTGTTTGGAATGTGTCCTCCTTCTGCTCCTCATCCCCTGCCAGCCGGCTCATCCACTCCCTCACCCTATCCTCCTCCTCCTCCTCCTCCTTCTCCTCCTCCTCCTCCTCCTCCTCCTCCTCCTGCGATCCGTTCCTTCGTTCCCATCCACAGGCGCATGCTGTTAGCTGCCCCTCCAGTGGTGGAAAAAACGATTACACGAGTGAAACAAAGAACATCAGGGGTCAGCCCCCAGAAGCAACTCCCCCCCCCCCGGACGGCGGACGCTACCGCCCCCTCCCAGTGGGCTCCACAGGCAGGACCACTCCTCCGAGCTCCTGGGGAACAGGCTCGTCACGTCCCTGCAGGCGCACGACCTCGTTGCAGATCGTGCGAGATGTGGCCCCACCCCCACAGCAGGAGGCAACATCACAGCATCGAAGAGCAGTGGACTGTCCTGACCACCGCCGCGTGGGAGGAAATGCCCTCCACCTTCTTCTCCATCCCCACCGCCGCCGCCGTGTGAACAGGCCACCCGTGCTGCCCCTGCGCTGCCAGTGTCCCACGTGCTCGCCGGGGGGGCTGTTTTTCTTTGCTGTTCTTCCTCCTCATCCTCCTCCTCGTCCTCCTCCTCCTCCTCGTCCTCATACTGCAGCCCACGTCCAAAACAAACGACTCCAGGAGGTCCCACCTCAGAGCAAGCACGCAGGATGCACGTCGCCGATCTCCAGGCGCGGACTGGCTTCCTGGACCCCCAGCAACGCTTGGTCGGTGAGGCCTGGCAACCCAACGGAGAAGGGCTGCTGCGGAACGGCCTTCCCACTCTCGGTCCCGGGCCAGCCCGGAACTCGCCACCGCTCGGCCGTCAGTGTCCCTTTCATTGTTCGGCCTCGTACTTGCCTTTGTTCTTTGCCAGATGATCCAGGATGCTCCTCGATGGTCCGCGCCGAGAGACAGGCACAGGTCCGAGCGATGCCAGGATGAAGATGCTCCTGCAGATGCCCAGCCGTGGGGGTGGCCCCGCAGAGAAGGAGCACAATGCGGAGCATGAGGAGGAACGGCAGCAGAGCGCGGCAGCAGTAGTCGCAGGAGGAGCGCCAGAATGCACCGTACCTTTTTCATATGTGGCCTCACTGCAGCGGAGCGCTCGGGAACGGAGGGAGTTGAACAATTACCTTCATACAGCTAGCAAGTTCAGGCACCGGGGCTCGCCCCAGTCGTCAGGAGATACTACGCAGTCCGCCGACGAACTCTTCCACCAGCGCCAGCATGGCCACTCCCGAGGCCCCTGGGAGTCCCCGGGCGCCTCCAGGGAGGAGGAAGGAGGATGGAGGATGGGGCAGGAGGAGGAGGAGGAGGAGGAAGAGGAGGAGGAGAAGGAGGAGGAGGAGGAGGAGAGGAGGAGGAGGAGGAGGAGAAGTAGGAGGAAGAAGAGGAGGAGGAGGAGGAGGAGGAGGAGGAGGGAGGAGGGGGGGAAAGGAGGAGGGGGGGGAAAGGAGGAAGGGGGGAAAAAGGAGGAGGAGGAACCCAATTCCAAGATGTCTGGCGATGTTGGTTTCGCAGCCCGCGGGCCGCAGGGGATCGACGCTGTGCAGTCTGCCGACCCTGACCCGTCGCTGAGGACCCCAGGCCAGGGCCAAAGACAAGGTCCCGGGGGAGGCAAGAATCGCAGAAAGAGCGCCAGGATTGTAAAGGTGGATCCTTCGAGAGTCTGGGCTCGCAGCCGATGGCTATCTCGGGCACCCGACGAGGGGAGGGGGTAGGGTCAGATGGGGCGCTCGAGGACAACCGCAACGGACGCCAGGGAAGGACTCGATACCCTCGAAGAGCCATCCGTCGTGTGGCCCACTCTTTGCAGATCCGAGCCTCCCCAGACCCACCGCAGCGGCCTTTCGGCTCTCGCCCCCTGCCCTCCACCCGAAGAAAACTGCCCGGGCTGTAGCCCTCGGGCCCCCGAGGCCCCCGAGGCTGGCCGGCCGACGGGCGGAGGTGCCCGGGCGAGCGGGCGCGCCTCCGAGGCTGCTCGCCGGCGCGCGCCTCCCCCCAACCGGGTGGGCGGCCGGGCCCGACGGCCGCGGCTCGGCGCTCAGGGCTCGGGGGTGACGTAGATCGTCTGCCCGTTGAGCTCGCCACGGTCGAAGGTCTGCACCGCCTTCCGTGGAGGGGTGCGGGAACGCCCATACAGTCGGGGCGTTGACCTAAGGAACCCTAAATAAGGAACGAGGCCCCGTTTTCCCATAAATTAAACTTCGATTTCCGATCGAAAACATAAGTAAAACCTGAGACAATCTGTGAAACACTTAAGGACCCGACTGTACCCTGGGTCACAACTGCGTGGTCCGCAAACCTCCTGGGAGCTCCCAGGTGCCATGGGGCCGCCCTGGACGCCGCGCGACGCGCGCGGTATGCAGGGTTCGCCCCGTCGGCCCACAGGAGGTTCGGCGCACAGCGCCCCGTAAACCAGGGTCGGGGCGTGTCCAACGCCCTTGACTCAAGGGTGGGCATGACAAGAAACGATCGTTTTTTGTCATAACGTAACATGCGGTGCCAAGCTTGCCTAGCATCCTGATCGGAATCTCTCCCACGTGCCCCGCGACGGTGCTCCCAGGACACGGCCGCAGTGCGTCGGCAAAGCAGGACAGCCTTCAGCCATGGATCTTGGAGGAATGGGGGCCCTGGAAAAGGTTCGCCGTTTTCGGGCTCACGGGCCCCGGGACAGTCAAAGCTTGTTCGGGATGAAGACTTGGCCCTGGGGAAAAATGGAGTCTAAGACCCGTTTCCGTCAGAGAACATGTCTTTCGTGGCGTCAGGAGCAGTCGGCGGGAAATCCGAACTCGAGATCGAACCGAATCGCCTGCGCAGCGATCCGCAACGAGGGACCGTGCGAGCACCAGGGCTCACCTCATCGTCCAGAGATCAAGCGGATCGAGCCCAGCGAAACCGATGTCTTGGGACGCCCGAAATGGGAACGGAAGAAAGGGCACGATGTCCATCAGCGAACGTAGACAAACAAAAACGCGTAAACATAACAAATACCAGTCGCGGGCCATTTGGCGCGAGCGCACCGCTGCTGTCCGAAAGCCCGCGCGCTGGAGTTCCTCGAACGTGGCGCAAAAAAAACAAATCGGAGAGAGTGCGCACCGAACCCCGGGGAAACAAGCGTAGCCGACAAGGCCAAGAGCGGGCGAGAGCCAAGTGGCAACCGAGAGGTGAAAGAGGAGGTGGGGGGCATGAAGGCGGATCCGAAACGTGGGGCGCAACGATTGAGAATAATGGAAGGGCGGAGGAGGAAGAACACAATGATGTTGGGGAGGAAAGGAATCTGGGGATAATGCTTCCGGGGCCCCTGTGCTCGCAACCCTTGATCGGATACCGTCACGGACACCTTCCCGAACGGCCTTTCGAACCGCATGCGAAGTCCAGATGCCTCTCGCTTACCAAAAGCCCCTCCTCAGCGCGGCGCTGTTCTACGGGTCGGTGGGGCAGTCCTGCCGTCGAAGACGCGTCTTCCTGCGAACGATCGAATTGGGCGGGCACTGGCCAGGGGCAAAATGCACTCATCCGTTTTGGATGTAAAAAACAATCATTCCCCGGAAGCAGGCAGCCAAAAGTGCATGCTGCGCGAGACTGCCAGGCTGTCACGACAGAGCCTGCCAGAACGGTTGCCCCGCCCTGCACGGTCCATGTTGCGCGAAAACTTGAAGAGTCTACGTCGTGGAAAGTCGAGAAGAGCCACGCGGAATCGGGAGCGGCAAAGAGGGGGGCGTCAAAGAGGGGGGGGGTGCAAATCATGACCAGCGGCACGTGCGCGGCCCAGCGTGGGGGCCAGGGACGTAATGAAATGAGACGAGGCGCCATGAGATCTGGGGAAATATCATGGCCCCCGCCATGATACCCCCCCCCCTCGTCATCCCCCCTCTCTTTTCCGCCCCCGACGGAAGCGCAACATAAAATTTGGGGAAGCCGATCCCCCGAAAAAAAAACCGGCGCGGACTTCCAGGGTCGCCGGGGGCGCCAGTCGCGCGCCCTGAGCCGTCTGGCAGAGAGAGAGCCGCGCCCAGGACCGCGCTGCGCCTGGCCGGGCGGGAGCCGTCCGACCGCACGGGATGCTCCGCCACGGGCCACCAGAGGCCGCAGGTGGCCGCCCGAAGGCTGCTCGCAGGCCGCCCGACGGTCGCGCGCGAAGGCCGCGCGGAGGCCGCGCGACGGCCCGCCGAAGGCCGCCCGAGGGCCGCGCGACGGCCCGCCGAAGGCCACCCAAAGGCAGCGCGAGCGCCGCCAGAAGGCCGCCCGAAGGCCGCCCGAAGGCCGCGCGAAGGCCGTCCGAAGGCCGCGCGAAGGCCGCCTTAGGGCCGCCCTCCTTCGTCCTCCCGCACGTCCCAAGGCGCCTCCTCTGTTACACTCGGAAGTTGCCGTGGGCGGGTCGAAGAACGGTCCGCCACAGATGGCTCAGGCATTCACTTTGACGGGGCGGCGGCTCCCGTTCCTGGACGCGCGCCGTACCTCCCAAACTTGGTCCGTGGGAGTGATTCAAGTCCCTACGAAGGGCAGCGATGTCCGAATAACGACGCCGCCCCTACTAGAAATGACAGCCGCGCGCAGTCGCACGCGGTCGCGCTTTCGCACAGCTTATGTGGAAAGTCACGGATGTGACACGCGCACTGGCTCCCCCCTGTACCCAAGAAGGCAGAGCATGGGACTTGGAACGTCCACGAGAGAACTGGATGTACGCTTTTACACTTATGTTCATGCGTTTTTCTTTGAGAATGTTGTCCCACACCGACAGTGGCCGGTGTTGGGCAGGCGGTCTTCTGCCTCAAATGGGCAACGTCCGCGGCGTCGCCGACAACGAACCGTGTTCAAACTGGGCAGGGACGGCCGCCAGTCTCCGTCACCACTCTTCCCGCCACCCACATCGATCGAACCGAAAATCGGACCGCATTCTGGATCCAGGCCTGGCCTTTTTGGCATCCACGGGACTGTCGAAGGTCACGAACGCGACGCCGCGCTCCACCTCGCACATGAGGACGCGGCCGCTGTCCTTAGAAGAGCCAAACACGGCATACACATAAACTTTTGCCGACCGCGCGGATTCCTTGGATATGCGCTGGCCTCCCTGGCGCGCTCCGGCGCCGCCAGGGGGCCCAGGCGCCGATCCAAGCAAACCGCGCGGAGCGGGCAATTTATGTATCTGTTATGTTGCAACCTCCGGGGACCTTGTCTGTCTCGTCGCGGTCCTATCTGCGTCGAATCCGTGTCGAATCCGTGTCGGATCCGTGTCGAATCCGTGTCGAATCCGCGTCAAATCCATGTCCGCGTCGAGCCCGCGCCAGGCACAAGAAAAGACACCGATTTTGGGTGACAGGCGAGGCTCTCCGAAGATGCAACGTAATTTACAATGGGGGCCCGTCCACAAGATACCTTCCACAAGAAACAACCCTGAGACCCCCAGGAAGTCCATTGGTTCTTGGCGCGGGAACGCCACGCTCTCTATGGCAAAACCATCGACACCGCAGAAACTCAGGGCACCCTGGAGGCAAGCAGGGTGCTTCTTGGCATGGGCCCCCACTGTAGAAGACCACCACCACCGAGAACCGACCGGGGAGGACCCACCCCTGGGTGACGGCACGCCAGAGCGTCGCCTTGCACTGGGTGACCCTCGGGCGTGCCGCCGCCCAGGGGTTGGTCCCCACGGATGGAATCTTGGTGGCAGCGGTCCTCCTCCTCCTCCTCCTCATCATCATGATCATCCTCCTCCCCCTCCTCCCCCTCGTCCTCCTCATCCTCCTCCCCCTCTTCCTCCTCCTCCTCCTCCTCTCCTCCTCCTCCTCCTCCTCCTCCTCCTCCTCACATCTCATCCTCATCCTCATCCTCATCCTCATCCTCATCCTCATCTCATCCTCATCATCATCATCATCAGCATCATCAGCATCAGCATCAGCATCATCATCATCATCATCATCATCATCATCATCATCATCATCATCATCATCATCATCATCATCATCATCATCATCATCATCATCATCATCATCATCATCATCCCCCTCCTCCCCCTCTTCCTCCTCCTCCTCCTCCTCCTCCACCTGCGAGGTCCTCGAAGGCGTCCTTGATGTCCCGGTGGTCCAGGCCCCTCGGCACGTTCGACACGCGGATCGTGGTGAAGGCGCCGGGCCGCCGCCCCGCCTCGCGGGCGCACGGGCAAGGCTGGCCTTGACTGGCACACGAGGCCGAGGCGGTCTCAACGCCCCGTCGCCGCCGCCGCCGGCGCCCCGATGGGGGACGCTCTGCGTCGCCGGGGGCGGGATGTCTGTGCTAAGCCCCAAGCCGTGCCATGGATGCGGACTTTTTTTTGTCCAAGGTGACGCACCACGCGTCCTTACGGCGCACGGGTCGGGCATGTCCTCCAAGATAGGCGGATTCTGGAAGAAACGCAGCAAACAGTTACCAAAAGAACCGGGCGGGCTTGGCAAGAGGAGTGCAGCACAGTCAAACAACACCACACAAAAAGACCAGTACCACAAAGAAACAGGCGGACTTGAGAGGAAAAGTACAACACAGGCATACAACACAAACGAATAGTCAGAAGAGCACGAGCAAATCGTCCCCAGACTGTTGCGTTACTGTTATTGACCGTTCGTCCTGCAGAAGGACATGCCCGACTTAAGAAAAGACGGCATCTGGGAAGGGCGCACTGTGGCCGGAGGCGTGCGTGTGCGTGTGCGTGTGCGTGTGCGTGTGCGTGTGTGCGTGTGTGTGTGTGTGTGTGTGTATGTGTGCGTGTGTGTGTGTATGTGTGCGTGTGCGTGTGCGTGTGCGTGTGCGTGTGCGTGTGCGTGTGCGTGTGCGTGTGCGTGTGTGTGTGTGTGTGTGTGTGTGAGTGAGTGTGCGTGTGCGTGTGCGTGTGTAATGTATGTGTGTGTGTGCGTGTGTGCGTGTGTTCGCGTGTGCGTGTGTGCGTGTGTGCGTGTGTTCGCGTGTGCGTGTGTGCGCGTGTGCGTGTGTGCGCGTGTGCATGTGTGCGTGTGCGTGTGTGCGTGTGTGCGTGTGTGCGTGCGTGGGTGCGTGTGCGCGTGTGTGAGTGTGTGCGCGTGTGGTGTGTGCGTGTGTGCGTGTGCGTGTGCGCTTGAATGCGTGTGTGCGTGTGTGCGTGCGTGTGCGCGTGTGTGCGTGTGCGCGTGCGTGTGCGTGTGCGTGTGCGCGTGCGCGTGCGATTGCGTTTTCGTGTGTGCGTGTGTGCGTGTGTGCGTGTATGCGTGTGTGCGTGTGTGCGTGTATGCGTGTGTGCGTGTGTGCGTGTGTGCGTGTGCGTGTGTGTGCGTGTGTGCGTGTGTGCGTGTGCGCGTGTGTGTTTGTTCGTGTGTGTGTGTGTGTGTTTGTTTGTGTACGTGTGTGTGTGTGTGTGAGTGTGTGTGTGTGTGTGTGTGTGCGGACGGGGTCGGAAGCCAGGGAGCGCGTGGCAAGCAGACGGCGGGGAGGGCAATGACATCGGGGAGATCCCGTGGCCCTGGCCTTGACGTTTCTCTCCCCCCCTTACCGTTCACGCCCCTCTTCGACGAGCGGTGGCTCTCGCCCCACAACTCGGGCCTCCAGCGGACGCTCGGGACGACTCGGGCACCCCCAGCACGGCCTCGGCCAGGCGCGACTGCTGGAGAACCTCCCGAGGCTGCAGAGCCGCCGCGAACGCACGAAACGCCCGCTGACATCGAACCTTGAACCTCGAACCACCCTTGGTTCCCCCTCTTGGGCCCTGAGATCCCCGTTGCAAAAAATGCTGCATCGCAAAAAATCACCACCGGACCCCCGGACCCCATCGTTCTGCCCCATTTTTCGAGCCAGATCGCTCCGTGAGGGCCCCATGGGGCCCGACGTCGAGCGAAGACGCCCGGCTGGAAAAAATCGAACCGCCAGGATCTTAGGGAACCATCCCTGGCCCTTCCCCCCTCCCCTCGTTGGACGCCCGCGAGCCTCGCGCTGGGCCCTCGGCGGGGGGTCGGGGTCGCGCGCGGCCTTGGCTGGCTGCCAGTCGTCCGGAGCCCGCGGCACGCGGGGCCTCTCGCGCTCGCGCTCGCGCACCAGCGCGCGGTCGCGGTCGTCCCAGTCCTGAGGGGGGGGGGCGGCCGCATGCGGGTGGGGAGGGGCTCGAGGAGGCTGCACCCTCGGATCTGGGAGGAGGAGGAGGAGGACGAGGAGGAGGAGGAGGACGAGGAGGAGGGAGAAGGAGGAGGACCTCGCAGTTGGCCATGGGTCTGTTAAAGAGCGGGGATGGGGCCTGCCTCGCGATCAAGGGAGGCAGGGGAGGGTCTGTGCCTCCCCTCTCTCGAGCTTGTCAAGACGAGCTGCACCTGTGGGCGTGGCCTTCTTGCATTATGCCAAGAGGTTCTGTGTACTTCGCGTGGCATGGAAGCCACACGTCCAGCAGGTGTAGTTACCTTTGGCAGATCACAACAAGTCGTGAGAAATCTCAGCGAAACACGCACCGGTCAGAGTGAGAGGGGCCGAACGGTCATTCATTGTCCTTGGGTGCGCGGCTGAATTGGGAACTCGTGGTGAGAATTATGTTTGTTGCGTTGTTGTTGGTGGTGGTCTTGTTGATGTTGTTGTTGGTGATGCTGATGTTGTTGTTGCTGCTGTTGTTGTCGTCGTCGTTGTTGTGGTTGTGGTTGTGGTTGTGGTTGCTGTTGATGTTGATGCTGTTGTTGTTGTTGTTGTTGTTGTTGTTGGTGTTGTTGTTGTTGCTGCTGTTGTTGTTGTCGTCATCCCACTCGCGGCCCACCCCGCGACCCACCCGCGGCCCAATCCGCGACCCACCCGCGACCCATCTGCGACCCACCCCGCGACCTACCCGCGACCCACGTGCGACCCACCCGCGATCCACCCCGCGACCCACCCGCGACCCATCCCCGACCCATCCGCGACTCACCCGCGACCCACCCCGCGATCCACACGCGACCCACCCCGCGACCCACCCCCAAGGGAGGAAACAACATGCAAACCCGACAATTGACGTTTACTAAACGGCCCTGGTCGTTTACTAAACAGCCCTGCCCTGTTCGATTCATTCTTTGTGTGTGCTCACTGAACGGCTTCGCTTGCCAGGGTGATCCTTATGGGGTGAATTTTCTGCCCTCTACACCCTCGACCCACCCGCGACCCACCCTGGCCTAGCACGGATGTCCCCCCATGCCTGTGCAACAGCCTCGTGTCTCCGAGTGAGAAGGCGGAGACGAGCTTCAAAGCTTTGGGCGACAGTGCCTGGAAGCCCCAGGCGCACACAGTGGTGAGAGTGCAAAAAAAACACCACACATGCAGGCACACAGCAGCGACACATTCGGAGGAAGAGGGTAGAGCTGGATCAGAGTGGCTATCCAAAGAATCACCACCAGGGGCAATCGGAAAAGCAGAACCCTGACAAATGGGCGATTGGGAGTCGGTGCGTCCGCACCTGAGCCTGTTCCCATCCCCTGACTGGGGAAACCAACCAGTACCAATGCCGCTGCTCGCCGGACCTCTCCCGGGGTGCGTTCTGACCAGGATTCCGAGGCGAGTCCAGCGGTGGCGACGAAGATCCCAGAAGACCCCAAAAGGAGAAAACGAGTGAAACGGTGCGGTATTGGTACCTTTTCCTCCCCCCTGACGTTGCCCCTTGACCAGAATTTCGAAGCGAATCCAGCGGTGGCGACGAGGGCATCCCAGGAGACCCCAAAAAAGGAGGAAATGAGTGAAACGTAGTGGTGTCAGCACCTTTTCCTCGCCGCCAGACGTTGCCCCTGAGGTCACTTGACCAGAAGTTCGAGGCGAATCCAGCGGTGGTGACGAGGGCATCCCAGGAGACCCCAAGGAGAGAAAACGAGTGAAACGTAGCAGTATCGGTACCTGTTCCTCCTCTGAATACAAGGCCGTTCTCCTCCTGCGGGACCCCGGCGTCAAAAAATCGAGGCGGCCGACTTGTCAACGCATCGGTCGGCGGTCCCCAAAGACGGGGCCCTGAGGCATGTTGCCCTGGGGACGAGGCGCCCCAAAAACAGTGCATGTTCCACATGGGACCCTATTTCCTTAGCGACGAAGAATCGGGTCGGACGCGAGATGTGCGCCGGTTTCGTCACACCCTCTTCCTCCCCTCCCTTGCTCCCGTCGTACTTAAAGGACCACATCCCAGAAATAATTTCGAGCACCCAGAGAAGTGTCGAAAGAGTGTCGAAACAGTGTCGGACGAGTGTCTCCCAGGGCCCGACACGTGAAAACCTTCGAATTTCGGCATTTTTCTGGTGCTCGAAATTCTTTCTGGTGATCAAGGCTAAGAGATGTTGGAACATCATAGCCCCCGGGGTCCCGGCTCCAGCCGGGGCCGTCCATGCCGCGGCCCGCGCGGCCGCCGCCGCCCCAGCCGTGCTCGCTGGGCCCCCAGCGGTCCTCGTAAGGTTGGCCCCAACCAGCACTTGGGGCAAGAAATTTGGGGCAGTTGTGCTGCAAATGTATTGCGCCGGAGAACTGTATTGCACTGTACTTGGACGCCCGAAATGGGTACGGGAAAAATGGGCATCATGCCCAGCACCAAATAATGTCCTAAACCAACAGCGGCCGCTGTTGGGCAGGCGGCCTTCTGTCTCCAATGTACACAGGCCGCGGCGACACCGACAGCGAGTCCTGTTCAAAATGAACAGGAACCGCTGCTGGGCAGTGTACCCAGTCTTTCCGTACCCATTTCGTTCGTGCCGATGTATTGCACCGAATGCACTGCCCGCGAAAATCCAACAATCCATGTGCGCCCTGCGAGGTATTGCCCACCCCAAATCTATTGCAACCCGCCAACCCACACCCCCGACGTCATGAGTTGCTCATGACGTCGACCCCCAAAGGTCTGGACCCATTCCCCGAGACAGGTTGTTCATCCTGAGTCGTTTTTTGACGGTCCCGCGGCCCGGCAAGGGCCTCTCGAGGCCAAAAACGGCGAAACACCTCCGTCTTGAGTTTTTCATTGCGTTGGGATCTCTGGGAACCGATTGCACCAGATCCAGCGCGCCTCCCCCCTATGGCTGACCCCCTCTTGGGCCAACCTGCGATCCTCGTAGCCGCGGCCCTCGCCGCGCCCGCCACCCCAGCCGAAGTCGGCGCCGCTGGCAGCCCGCGCGCGCTTGGCCGGCGGCGCGGGGCCCCAGTCGTCGTAGTCCTCGACCTGGCTCCTTCGAGGCCTCCTGGATGGGGTCGGAGTAGATGGGGTCGGAGGATCGCGCCGCATCGCCGACACGTCGGCGATGCATCGGCGATGCATCGGCGATGCACCGGCGATGCACCTGCGATGCACCGGCGACGTCGGCGTGAAGCCAATCGGGCTCCACATCGAGCCGCACCGGCCACGCATCGCCGCTGCGGCGCGATCCTCCGACCCCACCCGCTCCGACCTCATCCAGGAGGCCTGGACTCCTGTGGAGGCCTGGACCTCCGAGATGGGGCAGGGCTCTCTCAATCCAGCGGTGCTTCCTGGACGAGAAGGGGCCCAGGGACACACACACACAAACAGGCACGAAGCCCAGGACTCCCCATAGTTCCCTCTACTTTTTGGGTGTAGGTCTTCCCCCCACTTCCAACATTTTCCCATCTTTGCCTGGGAGTCGACGATTCACTGTGTCTGTGTATTTTCCCCTCCTGCTTGATTCCCGTCTCTGGGGCCCGCGATCGGGCCTGGGGTCCATCAAACGTGGAAGCTCGGGACGAAAAACAGACCTGGGAAGGCCCTGAGATCCCGGCGACCCTTTTTTCGAGCCAGGCGTTTTTCGCTCGATGTCAGGCCCCGGGGCCCTCACGGATCGACCAGGCTCGAAAAATGGCGCAGACTTACCCCAGTGCGACCCTACCTAGAAGTTGGAGCCCCTAGGAAAGCAGCATCGGTCGCTATGCCATGCTGCGCTATGCTATGCCATGCTATGCTGCGCTATGCTATGCTATGCTATGCTATACTGAGCTATGCTATGTCATGCTGCGCTGTGCTATGCTGAGCTATGCTATGCTATGTTATGCTAAACTGCGCTGTGCTATGCTATGCTATGCTCTGCTCTGCTATGCTATGCTGCGCTATGCTATGCCATGCTCTGCTCTGCTCTGCTATGCTGTGCTGCGTTGTGCTGTGCTGTGCTGTGCTATGCTATGCTATGCTATGCTGCGCTATGCTATGCTATGCTGGGCTGTGCTATGATATGCTGTGCTGCGCTATGCTATGCTATGCTACGCTATGCTATGCTATGCTGTGCTCTAATATGCTAAAGCTCAGCGAAGCAAAGATGAAGGTAAGCTAAGCTAAGATACACCTGAGCTAAGATGAAGCTAAGCTAAGCTAAGATGCAATAAGCTAAACTAAGATGAGATCAGCAACGCTAAGCTAAAGGGACGTAACTGGGGGAACCGCGGGGCGGATACCGGGGAGACCGCCCGGGGCGAGCCCCACTGCCCGGCCCCTTTAGCATAGAGAGTAAGAACCCTTCTAGGCAGAGCCTAGGTAGGGAAAGATGGGGTCCGCGGGTCCGGTCGTGATTTTTTGCGATGTTGCATGTTTCTTGCAATCTCGGATCACAAGGGCGTCTCCCTCGATTCCAGTCTCAGGGGCCCGTGATCGGTCCCGGGGACCATCAATTATCCCAGTGCGACCCTACCTAGGAGTTGGAACCTCTAGGACAGCAACATTAGCAGCAGCAATAGTGGATGCTGTGCTGCGCTATGCTATGCTACGCTATGCTATGCTCTGCTATGCTATGTTGCGCAATGCTATGCTGGGCTAGGCTAGGATATGCTATGATATGCTATGCTATGCTGTGCTGCGCTGTGCTATGCTAAGCAATGCTATTATATGCTATGCTATGCTATGTTGCGATATGCGATGCTGTTATATGAAATGCTATGATGAGCGATGCTAAGTATGCTGAGCTATGCTATGCTATGTTATGCTATGTGTGGCTTTGCTTTGCTATGCTATGATGTGCTAATGCTGCGCTGCGCTATGCGGCGGTGCGCTACGCTAAGGTAAGCTAAGCTAAGCTATGCGAAGCGAAGCTAAGCTAAGCTAAGCTAAGCTAGGTTAGGCTAGGCTAAGCTAAGCTCAGCTAAGCTAAGCCAAGCTAAGCTAAGATAAACTAAGATGATATTAGCTAACCTAAGCTAAGCTCAGCTGAACTAAGTCAAGCTAGGCTAGGCAACGCAAAGCTAAGCTAAGCTAAGCTAAGATGATATAAGCTAAGCTAAGCTAAGCTTAACTTAGCTAAGCTAAACTGGGTGAACCCAGGGGGCGCAACTGGGGGAACCGCGGGGCGGATGCCGGGGGAACCGCCCGGGGTGGGGTCCATTGCCCGCCCCTTTAAGCACAGAGAGTAAGAACCCTTCTAGGCAGAGCCTAGGTAGGGAATAAGCTAAGCTAAGATGAAATAAGCAACGCTAAGCTAAGGGGACGTCACTGGGGGAACCACGGGGTGGATGCCGGGGGAACCGCCCGGGGCGGGACCCACTGCCCGGCCCTCTAAGCACAGAGAGTAAGCCAGAGCCTAGGTAGGCAAAAAGTGGAGAACGAAAAAAACATTAGGTCGGGCGTGTCCCCCTACAGGGGGGATTCTGGGCGAAAAAATGAAAATACCTAGAACATGCATCAAACATGCTGAAACCAATCGTCCCCAGACCATTCTTTGACTATTCTTGAATATTGTTCCTGTAGAGGGACAAGCCCGACTTTTGGTTTTTGTCTTCTTTTCCTACTTCTACTCCTCCTCCTCCCCCTCCTCCTCCTCCTCCTCCTCCTCCTCCTCCTCCTCCTCCTCCTCCAACTCCTCCTCCTCCTCCTCCCCTCCCCCTCCCCCTCCCCCCCCTCCCTCCTCCCTCCTCCTCCTCCTCCTACTCCTCCTCCTCCTCCGCCTCCTCCGCCTCCGCCTCCGCCTCCTCCTCCTCCTCCTCCGCCTCCTCCTCCTCCTGCTCCTGCTCCTGCTCCTCCTCCTCCTCCTCCTCCTCCTCCGCCTCCGCCTCCGCCTCCGCCTCCTCCTCCTCCTCCTCCTCCTCCTCCTCCTCTCCTCCTCCTCCTCCTCCTGCTCCTGCTCCTCCTCCTCCTCCTCCTCCTCCTCCTCCTCCTCCTCCTCCTCCTCCTCCCTCCTGCTCACCCTCCACCTCCTTCCCCCCTCCGACGTATGGTGGTGGTGGTGGTGGTGGAAAGTAGGCCCATCGTGGCAGCGCGCGTCAAGGGTCGGGGCGAGGGGAGAGCGGGGGCCTGCTCAAGGGGCAGCCTCTTGAGGCCCGCCTGCCCGCCAGCTCTCCCAAGGGGAGCCTTCCTGGAAACCGCCGGCCCCTCCGAGGGAGCACCCTCTCGTTCTGGGGAGGCCGTCCCCCGTCACGATACAGCAGGAGGCGGGGGCGGAGGAGGAGGAGGAGGAGGAGGAGGAGGAGGAGGAGGAGGAGGAGAGAAAAACGAGGAGGGAGGAGGGTGGAGGAAGAGGAGGAGGAGGAGGAGGAGGAGGAGGAGGAGGAGGAGGGTCCTCGTCCTCGTCCTCGTCCTCGTCCTCGTCGTCGTCGTCGTCGTCGTCGTCGGGGGCGGCTGGCTCAGGCTCCTCTTGCCGCGCCCGCCGGCCCAGCTCCGCATGCCGCCCCCGCCGGCCCAGCCTGGGAGGGCGCCCGCTGCACACGCTCCTGCGCCAGCCCTGGCCGGCCCAGCCCCCACGGCCGGGCTGACGGCGATGTTGTTTCACGGTGATGCCGGTACAGGGCAGATGTTAATACATAGGATACTAACCATATGATTTTAACATGAGATCCATTTACGAATAACTTTATGCATGAACCCATCGTTGCTTTTAATAGTACATCCCTGCATGTTTCATACATCATCCGCACGCGGAGCATGTATTAGAAACGGCCCTGTAGTTGTAGGAAACCACGGGCCACATTTCCCTGCATGCCCAATCTGCGGATGGATCGGGCGAGCACGGCACAGCGAATTGCAGGAAGGCTCGCGCCACGCGTCCCCACAATACCGAAACCTACATCGCCATTTGCCCGTCTACGGCACCCGGGGCACGGGGTCGGGCCGGCCGGGGCCGGCGCGCGCGTGCACAGTTGGAGCCCTCCGGCAGCCATCGTCCACCCACTGCTTGCCGCCGCCCTTGCCCCACTCCTCGGGGGGTGCTGAACCCTGAGATCCTGGGGACTCAATTTTTTCGAGCCGGGCTTTTCCGATCAATTCTGGGCCCTGGGACCCTCACAGATCGATCCCGCTCGAGAAACGACGCAGAAAGATGGGGTCCGGGGTCAGTTCGTGATGTTGTGCGATGTTGTATTTTTTTGAAGGGGTGTTACTTGGGGCCGCGGGGGCCTGCTCGGGGCTGCCTGGGCCAGGGGCACTTCCCTGAGATCCATTTTGGAGACAAAAAAAAAAACATCACGACCGGACCCCTGGACGCCATCTTCCTGCGCCGTTTTCCGAGCTGGATCGATCCGTGAGGGTCCCATGGGGCCCGAGAAATGGAGCGAAGACGCCTGGCCCGAAAAAAAACTGCGTCGCCTCAGGACCTCAGGGGGTGCACCCTGGGCCAGGGGCACTTCTGGCAGCCCCCGCACTCCGGGCCGCCGCGGCCCCGGGTGCCAGACCTCGCCTTCTGAGTATCGTTTCACCGATCCCCATCCCCAGCGGCGTGGCCCGGGCCCCGCTGGCCGACTTGCCCCCCTAGATGGGGATACGGGTCGCTCCCTTCGAGCTTCGAGGGGTGTATCCCCAACTGGGTGGTAATTTGGCGGGGGCCTCGAAGGGGGAGGAGGAGGAGGAGGAGGAGGAGGAGGAGGAGGAGGAGGAGGAGGAGGAGGCGGAGGAGGCGGAGGAGGCGGAGGATGAGGAGGAGGGAGGAGGAGGAGGAGTAGGAGGAAGGGAGGAGGAGGAGGAGGAGTGGAGTGGAGTGGACGCCATCACGAGGTGATCCGAATCACTAGCCACCCGAGCCTCGCGCTGCCTGTTGAGCTCGGGTGAGCGCCTTAGGCCACAAACCACGTGCCAACCGTCGGAGATATTATCTTCGGGTGGGGTTCGGCTGCCCAGTGCAAGACGCTTTCAAATCTTTAGATAAGAGCTCGTTACAAAAGAAGCCACACGATGTACAATGCCACACCCCCAAGTCGACGTGAAAGGCCATCTTGTGAGACGGCCCCACCCACCCCCCGCAAAGATGCAAGGGTTGACCAGCGGGCAGATGCAAGACACTGGAGCTCCCAGGAACGACATCAAAACAGGGGGAAGATCGCCACTCCGTGGCGGTGTCGATCGAGGCAGACCCCCTACAACGTAAGCAGAAACGACCATTCGGCCCGAGGTGATGGGACGAGTGGAAAACGGAAAGAACGGCAGGAGAGGGAGGAGGAGGGAGAGGAGGCGGCAGGGGCGGCTCCACGACGTCCCCGTCCTGGGCGCCGCCACCACCACGTCGTGCGCCTCGAGGCCGAGGCCGCTGCGCCTGAGAATCCGAGCTGAAAACCTCCAGGGCGACCCGCAACAGCCGACGACGGACGAGCAACGCATCTCTTTCGACCCGCACAACCCGAGCACGATGAGCGTTGTCGAGCCGACACCGTAGTGCCGCAACACCTGCAAGTTCGTCGGCAACCGTGTTGCCGACTATCAGAAACCTCGGAACAGTCTGCTGAATAATCTGAGCTGGGGAGAGATGGGAATCGACTTTGATGACGGAGATGAGTGACGTGTCACGCCCCGTACTCTGGATAATCGAACGTATCGTATCCCAAGCCCCCATACTCTCCCCCGCGGGCCTCTCGTAAAGCCCATTATACCAACCATCACAAACTCCTGAAGCGTCGGTGACATATATCAGAGGGCCTCTGGCATATTGAAGAGCCAACATAAGCCCTTGAAGTTCACCGCGGGGTACCGATTGCTTCCGACCTGGGAGAGGGCCTAAAACTCCTGCTCGAACGACTGGAGGATCGTACGAAGCTAAAGTAACAGCAGCAACTCCTACGCGCCTGAAAGCTGGTTCCCGTGCATCAGGGCCTCCAGAAGCATCTCCAAAGATAATGACTGGATCCCCAATACGGCCAACCCCCAACGTAGCGTCGTTCAACTCAGGCGGCTCGTTGCCTCCTACCGTGAGCCACTGGGGTTCGGTACTGGCTGAGGGCACTGCTGTCCAAGTTCGAGGGATGAGCCCTCGGAACCAAAAGCATGCTTCACTTTCGCCGCAAGAGACTGCACGAGGGACTAAATCCTCGGACTGCTTGAAAGCTTTGTGCTCCGCACTGTTGCAACGACATAGCCAAAACCGATGCAAAGGTGTCTCGGGCTGCTCCTTACATCTCGGGCAATCAGGACTAAGACGATGCCGAGTTTCGTCGATCACCCGTTGCCGAGGCCAGAAACCCCCCGTCGCCACGTGAATCATCGTTTCCGAAAGGCGATGCCCGTGCTTGCTGTTCTGGAGGCTCCGAAGAAACCGACGATAACTAGTGTTGTCAACTCCGTGAGCAGAACCCTCGCCACAATAGTGCTGTGCTGCTTTCGCCCAAGCGGCGTCTTGAAACGATTGTTGAAACTCGTCAAGCACTTCAGACGTGTCCTCGAAACCTGTGAGGCCGCTGTCGGGGAAAAAGCCAATGAGCACCGTCATCCCCTGGTGTAGTCCACTCGGTGGGGGATGTGGGGGTCCAACCAACTTCAAGCAAATACCCAATAAGAGCGCCCATAGGACCTCGAACCTGACGTGCGAACTGGGACAGGATGATGTTCTGAAGGCGCCGAACAAACTGGGGTCAGGCCTGACGTACCATCGGACGCAGATCAGGAAAGCTAAACCACGTATCGAGCCAGAGCTTCATAGTGTCCCTGGGGAATTTCACGAACGGATCAGCTCCTGGAACCTTCAAGTCCAAAAGTGTAGTAAGACAACGACCTTTCTGCTTGGAACCGAGGGCAGCCCCAAGTCGGCGCCGAAAACCGACGCGATGGGATCCAAAAGACCCGTGAACTTGATGCCCATACGAGCCTGCTGCTTGGGCCCCTGCTCGCTCCAGGCGTCCAGTAGCCTGATATCGCCGAGAAGCCCGTGCAAACTTGCGGATCTTAGCCGTCATAGCAGAAGCTTTGACCACTCGTTTGCGCCGTGAGGAGCGAGCAGGACGGCCAGCACCGAGGTCCACGCCAAGGTACTGAGCTTGTAAAACATTGTGAACAGTGTAGCCCAACTTCTTGAGCTTGGCTGCGATCTGCTTCCCGTCGCTAGACTGCGTGCAAACTAAAACACTCTTGGATGCTGCTTTCAGCCCTGCCTTGCCGAGCTCGTCACAAGTGTCACGGAGGCAACCGAAGAGCCGAGCACGGACAACTTTCCTGGACCCCATCACCCGCTGGTAAAGGTCGTCAACCCATATCCTCATAGAAGCCCCCACGTGAGCGGTGGTGATTTTAGCCAGGATAAAGTAAACCATGCACCTCCCAAAACGAACTCCGCTCCGAATACCCTGGACGATGCTCCGCGAAGGCTGGAAGGCGGCCGAAAAACACCCGTCGTGAGCGAGAGTGCGCGGGGCGACACAATTCTGAAGTTCTAACCCGAGAACAGTAGCTGGAAACTGTAGCCGAAGGGAGGTATCAACAAGAGCTTCCCAAGACATCGAATCGTAAAAAGCCTCGACGTCAATTAAACCCGTGCCGAACTCAATCCCCAGACGCATACAAGCTTCGTCTTGTAAGGCTCGAACGAAAGCCTCACGAAGTGCAGAGTTACCTCGGATCGCGGCATCCCAAGCAGGCTCTGAGGAAGAGGTCCAGAGGCGGAGGAGGAGGAGGAGGAGGAGGAGGAGGAGAGGGAGGAGGAGGAGGAGGAGGAGGAGGAGGAGGAGGAGGAGGAGGAGGAGGAGGAGGGGGAGGGGGACAGGGACTGGTTATAAACGATACCGACCTTCGCCTTGCCCTGGGCCTTCGCCCGCGGCGCGGGGGCCTCCCGGTGGAGCTTCATCATCCCGCGGCGGCGCCGGCCGCCTCGCGGCCGGGCGCCGCCGCCCTCCGCGGGCGCTGCGGCCGCCCCGTCCGCCTTGCCCTGCTCGGGCCACGCGTGGGAGTGGCTGTCTACCCAGCGCGGGCAATATTTATATCCATACCCAGTGCGTCTTAGACTTTTTTGGAGGGGGCGCTGCAAGGCCGAGGCGCATTGGATATGGATAAAAATTGAGCCTCTTGGAGGCAGATTATAATCCATATCCAGTGCGCCTCATGCTTCTTGGGAAGAGAGTGCGAAACTCCAAGACGCACTGGATGTGGATATAAACATTGCCCGCGCCCAGACCCCCTCGGGTCACGAAGAAATCACAGCGGGAGGCATGTCCATGATTTTCGGCCTCGGGGGGCCCCTTACCGGGCCTCGGGGCCGTCCAGAAACGGCTCGGGATGAGAAGCCGGTGCCAGGGAACGGGTCCAGACCACCCGGGGTCGAAGTCGGGAAGGAAAGCATGCCGAGGGTCTGGGTAGGCAAGAGCGACCTCTGGTGCGCGCCCTGACGGGGGGGACGCGGGGGGGCCAAGCCTGGGCCCCGAGATCCTGGCGCAAGTCCGCTTTTTGGAGCCGGGCGTCGCCGCTCCATGTCGGGCCCACTGGGACCCTCGCGGAGCGATCGGGCTCGAAGAATGGCGCAGGAAGATGGGGTCTGGAGGTCCGGGCGTGAGTTCTGCGAGACTGTTTTTTTTACAGCGTCGGATCTCAGGGGCGCGCAAGCCGCTGCCGCCGCCTCGCGTTCGGTGATCAGGGGGCCCCATCCGGGCCCGCACCGAGAGGTCACTCCAGCGAAAGGTCACTCTCACGTCTGGGCGCGACCTTCTCCTGCTTCTTCCCCTTCTTCCGGGGCACCTTGAGACCGTGGCTGGCTGGCCACCCTCACGTTGCATCTTCGGAGGGCCTCGTCTGTCCTGTCGCGCAGCCACCCGAAGAGCTATCCGCGCCGAAGCCGCGTCGGAAAGGAAGGCAAAAACTGCAACATACAAATCAGACGAGCCCCCCCAACGCCAAGATGCAACGAAACCACCCCGCCCTGGACTTGGAGGCAACTCCTGAGAAGTCTTCGTGGGCGAGACTGAGAATTAGCTACTATGCTGGATAGGGCTGATGAACGAAGCTGGATTCAGTCGGATCGGGCTGGGCCACGCACGGCTGAGTTCTGGCTTCGCACAGAGGGAGTACCAGAACCGATGCTTAATTAAAACTCCCAGGAGTTGCATCATACAGGAACGTTCGGCAATTATGCCATTGCTGGTTCCAGCCCTTGGCCCCCAGGGTGGCCAACCGACCCACGGACCTCGAACTTGATCATGTCATCGAGAGACATGCCGAGCTTGTCCTCGGTGCCCTTCGGCGCCTTTGCCGAAGTAGCCTCAGCTGGCGGCTTCGCCACGGGCTTGTTCTTCCGAGGAGCCCGTTCCTTGGCGGGCGTGTTCTTGGTCTCCGATGCCGGCGTGTCCACTGGCTTGACCCCGAAGGTTCTCACTGGCAGCCCCAGTCCCTTGAAAGCCGCACCAAGAGTGCCCAAGGGCCCCTTGGACTTCGCCGCCTTGGCCCGACAGCAGAACCAACCCGACTCCAGATCACACATACATCTTGAAGCGTGCATGGGAAATGCGAGGGGTTGTCAACCAAGCACAAGTCACAGCGTTGACTGGGCCGAAAGAGGGTGAAACTGTTAGGGTGTATCCTGTGATCGTGGAACTGGAACTGCTTCGAGGTCGAATGATTTCCCACATCTCCGACGTCCTCTTTTGTGCCGGCCGCGGCTTCCTCACCCTCTCGACGCCGGGCCCGGGACGTGCGGTTGCCCCCGAGTGGTGTGCAGACCGCCGTGGAGCCGAGAAGCGGCCACCCGGAGTCTCAAAGCGGAGCGAGAACGACACCCAAATATCAGCACTGTGTTTGGGCATCGCCCGCCCGGGACCTCTCCTTTCAGGGGGGCGTAAGACCTGGGTACAGGGACTCGGAAATCCCCGACGAGGTCGTCAAAAAAATGACGAGGCCGAACCTACATTTTGACGAGGCCTCCCGCTGCAGACATCCCACGAAACTCCTCCTCGTCAAAATCCGAGGCGCGGTCGTCAAAAAACGATGGCGAACCCGAGTCCTGGCAAACCCGGGTCTTACGCTCCCCCGATCCTTGGGTGAACTCCGAACAGAATTTGGAAGAGCACTCAGAACACGGCCGTGGACGGCGAGGGTGCTCCAGGACTTCCCACAGGGCTTAAGAGGAGCACGAGCAGACAGAGTAACCATCTGTCTTCGCGCGTACCAGGTGGGAAACCAGCCGGCGTGCTTTCGGGAGCGGCCAAGAGGGGGGTGTCCCAGAGGGGGGGGGGTGCAAATCATGACCGGCGGCATGTGCGCGGCCCAGCGGGGGGGCCAGGGACGGAATGAAATAAGAAGAGGCGCCACAGAATCTGGGGAAATATCATGGCCCCCGCCATGATTCTCCAGATTTCGTAATAAAAGGGAGGGGGTCTGGATCCTCCAAGACAAGCCATTTCAGACCTCCCCCGTGGGAGAACCCTCCAAAACATCGTCCCCAGACCCCCCAGGCCCTCCAAGATAGCTTGGAAGAGACCCCCCCCCCCGAAATGAGACCCCCCTCCCTTTATTACGAAATCTGGAGTATCCACCCCCCCCTAGTCATCACCCCCCTCTCTGCCGCCCCCGATGCTTCTGCCTAGTCGCCAGAGGTTCGGGGCTCTGCTGCCGGTGTGCCTTGTCCTTGCCGACCGCGCCGAGCGCCGACTTGGTGGCAGCGCTCAGGCCGCTCCGCCTCTCCGGCTTCTTCTCCGCGGCAGCGCCCGCGGACGCCTGGAGATCTTTTCCCGCCGCGTGCCTCCCACAAGCAGCCGCCACGTTAGGGATCAGCCTCCGACGTAAGAGACGTAAGGTAAGAGGGGAGAAAATGGACGAGGGGAGCGGGAAGTGGCCACCTGGAGACAATGACTGGGGAGGGATCTCGTCAGCGCCCCTTCTTCTCTTCAGGGCATGAGTCACTACTGCGACGGCCACGCGCAAAACACCAGGAATTGGTCCAAAGCCTAAACCGCTGTGTCTAAGGCCTCGACGTCGCCCCCCTCTCAAATCCGATCCCTCCCCCTCGCCCGCCTCCTCCTTCCCCGCCTCCTCCTTCTCCGCCTCCTTCTCATCCTCCTCCGCCTCCACTTTCTCTGTCTTGCCCTCCTCCGCATCACCTCTTCCTTCTGCCACGGTCCTGCCCCCTCCACCTGCCCCCATGCCTTCCTCCCCCTGGCGATCTCATGGCCCAAAGCAAACGAAACGGGTCCTGGACTCCACGGCTTTCTCTGTAGGAGGAGGAGGAGGGAGGAGGAGGAGGAGGAGGAGGAGGAGGAGGAGGAGGAGGAGGAGGAGGGAGGAGGAGGAGGAGGAGGATAATAAGTAGAAGTAGGAGGAGGAGAAGGAGGAGGAGGGAGGAGGAGGAGGAGGATAATAAGTAGAAGTAGGAGGAGGAGAAGGAGGAGGAGGAGGAGGAGGAGAAGAAGTAGGAGGAGGAGGAAGAGGAGGAGGAGGAGGTGCCGTTGAAACGGTGTTTGACGGACCCTAGCGCCCAGGAGGGGCCCCGCGGAAGCCCGAGAGTGGAGAGCATCCTGAAGAGCCCTTCCCATCATGACCCCCTTCTCTTCATGCTGATCCTCGCCCATCCAGCCTAGGAGAAGAAGAAAATGCCATAAACATAAACTTTTGGCGCTCCGCGCGGACTTTTTGAAACTGCGCTAGACCCCTCCCTGGCGCGCGCAGCGCGCCAGGGCCGGCGCTGGAGGCGCCGGCGGGGTCCCAGCGCGGATCCAAGGAATCCGCACGCAGCGCCAAAGTTTATCTTGATGGCGTTCGTCTTCTTCGACAGCTGCCTCAGTCTCTTTCTCGCCGTTGCCTTCTGCCTTGTCCGACCTCCTCCCCCGACGCCGTCTGCTTTCTCGCGCCCTGGAGGAGGAGGAGGAGGCGGAGAAGGAGGAGGAGGAGGAGGACGAGGAGGAGGAGGAGGAGGAGGAGGAGGAGGAGGCCCCGGGACATCTCGAACTCCTTCCCCGCGGGGAGCTCTCCGCTCGCCGAGTCGACATCCTAGCCAGCGGGGGATCGGCAGCTGGCTTCGCCTCCGCAGCCGGTTGGCCGAACGCGGCGAGGAGGGGGGGAGGAGGAGGAAGAGGAGGAGGAGGAGGAGGAGGAGGAGGAGGAGGAGGAGGAGGAGGAGGAGGAGGAGGGAGAGGGGGGAGGAGGAGCAGGAGGAGGAGAGGGGAAGAATACTGCTCCCTCGCTATGATGTCCTCCCCGGGGAGGGCCCGACCCCCCCCCCCCTGCCGGAGCACCTTGGGCCCCGCCCGGCACCGCGAGCGCTCGAGACGAGGGCCTGCGCACGGTGGCACCAAGGCCACGACCTGTGCGGGCCACGCTCTCGGCCCCGCCGCCGCTCGGACGTCCGATCCTCGTGCACGTATCGTTAGGTCGGGCATGTCCCCCTACAGGCGGATCTTGGACGACAGAAAGGAAATAGTAAATACATGATATACCCAAATATACTTGAAAATGCTTCACAAATCGTCCCCAGACGATTTTTTGTGAACTATTATTTGAATGTTCCCCTGTAGAGGGGCAGGCCGGACTTACGCGTATCGGCTTCGTGCATTGTTTAGTGTTCGCAGGATGCTCCCAAGCATGATCCCTCGCACAGGAACAGTGCACACGGCCGAGCGATGCAAGGTGGCTGACGAGCCAGTGCGGCAGACCGGTGCTGGACAAGCACCGCCGCGGAAGGAGGAGTCGGCGCTGGCGGGACCCCCCTCCCTGGCGATAGCGGAGCGCGGAGGCGCCACCCAGGGATGCGGGGGGGGCGGGGCCAGGCCGATTGAAATGAGCGCGAACCTCCGAACGTTGATGCTGATGCCAGCTTTGGTTGGTCCCCTGAAGTTGAAGGTCGCTGGGGGGGCAGCGTTGTTTCCAGGGCCAGATCCCCGTACGCTCGGCGGGCGCGCTTGATCGGACAACAGTAATCCTTACTGCCGCCCTTCGCGAGAAGCGCTGATTTCAGGTTTGCTCTTGCCGACGATTGGGCTGCTCATGCTTGCTCTTGCCCTACAAAAACATTGCCCTCTCCCCCGTCGCCCCAGAAACACAGATCGCGTTCGCTGCCCCTCAGCGAGCATCAACCCTGAAGTGGGGGGGGGGTCAGATTGAAATGACTGGGGCTTGACGTGTTCCGGCGTTGAAGTCAGTTGCGCACTGCAATGCGATGGCAACGAGTGCCGGGTGTGGTCGTCAGAGCCTGCCAGAGAAGACTATCATCACCTGTTGAAGGAGCTGCGCTGGCGCCCAGGGGAGCGCTCGCGACCAACGGCCGGGAGGAGGGGCTGGGAAGAGGGAGGAGAGTCGCCTGGTCCCCGCCGGCGCCCCTCTTCTTGCCGCCCCTGCCGCCCCTGCCGCCACCGCCGCCACCGCCGCCGCCCTTCTTCTTGATCATGTCGTCGAGCGACATGTCCTGTGCCAATGGGGGAGGGGCGGCGGAGCAAGAGGACGAGAAGGCAACAGGAAGACCAACCCTGAGATCTGACGTTGCAACAAAAGTGCAACATCGCAAAACATCACGCCCAGAGCGCCGGACCCCATGTTTCTGCGTCATGCTTCGAACCCGATCGATCTGTGAGGGTCCCGGGGCCCGAAATTGGGCGAAAACGCCCGCTGCAAAAAAGTTGCAGCGCCAAGATCTCAGGGAATGTACTTCCTCAAGTCGTGCTTGCACTTCGGGGTTCTCATCGTGCTAACTTCAAGACTTGGTTGGGCTCTCCAGGCTTCCGCATGGCCGCGGGCACCCCTGCGCTCTGGGGGGTGTACGCCGACATATTTCGCCTGGGGGGCCAGCCGGCGGGATCCTCGTGGGCAGCCCGTGCTGGGAGGAGGAGGAGGAGGAGGAGGAGGAGGAGGAGGAGGAGGAGGAGGAGGGGGATGAGGAGGAGG